TTATATTCATCCTTCAATGTTAGAAAAAGGTTATAGCAAAAGCTATAATTTTTAGTCTTCAATACCAATTTTTACATAAAATAAATTAGATAAAGTTATCACTCTAACCCTAACTCATATATAAATTTGAAATTACACTCTATTAATTAACATTGTAAATATTGTTTTACTAAATTGATAATATCTTAAAAGTTGAGCCACCATATGGTAGTTTACAAAAAAGCTGAATTAAACTGAAGAGGAAATAAAGAATAACATCCAGAAACTGATGAAAACATATTAGAGTCTCACGCTTTGAAACTGAACCATTGATTCAAAGAAACTTAATTTCCATGTCAACCCATCTCATTACCCGATCAATGTTACGGTTTTTCATTCACTAGTTGTTTTCATGTCACCGGAGCTGTTTCCATACTCGTTCCTTGACTAGGTTCAAACATATTAGAGTCTCTCGCTTTGAAACTGAAACAAACCCAGTCGATAGAGATACCCTTTTTTCTTCCAAAAACGAATTAGGGAATGAAAATCCAGAATTTCTTAAGGGGAAAGAAGGCCAGAACCAGGAGAAATGGGTTAAAAGAAATGTGGGTTTCAAGTTTGGTTTCAGAAGGATTAATAATGGAGTAGAAATAGGCGATTTTCTTGTGATTAGAAATGGTGGGCTGGATGTTGATTACTCTTCTATTACGCCTGGATTGAAATTGGGGCATTGTAATTCTATGGTGATTCGAGCTGTGAACTTAACGTTCGGGTTTTCAATACGATTATTATGCCTGTTCTAAAGGGGGCTTGTTGAGATGGGTGCAAAGTGGTTTGGGATGATGCTGGAATATGGGTTCGGCCGAACATTGCCACTTATGGGATGCTTATGGGACTTTACCAGAAAAGCTGGAATGTTATGGAAGCAGAATTTTCATTTTCAGAAATGAGGAATTCCGGAATTGTATGTCAATCGGCATACTCTGCTATGTTCACGATTTATACGCGTTTTGAGTTTGTATGACAAAGCGGAAGAGATTATCGGCTTCATGAATTGAATCTCGAGAATTGGTTGTGCTAATGCTTATAGTCAAAGTGGCAAGTTAGAGGAGGCTGAGCAGGTATTGGCTTTGATGCAAGAAGCAGGCTTTTGTCCAAATATTGTTGCGTACAATACACTGATCAAAGGGTATGGAAAGCATCAAATATGGATACAGCTCAACATGTATTCTTGAGCATCAAATATGCAAGAAGCAGGTATTGTACCGTAACTTTCAACATCATGCTTGATGTTATGGTAAAGCCAACTTTCAAGAAGGCCAAGAAACTATTCCGGATGGTGAAAAGTCGAGGCTTGGTGGATGTAATTGTTGGTGTATGACTGGAGCTGAGTTGGTTTTAACCAATCTGTCATGTGTTAGTTAGGCTGTTGAGTGTTAGTTAAAGATGGTTATGAGCAGTTAGCTTCTTGGGTTCTTCTAGTTAATTGTATAAATACATCTCTTCATGATTGAGAGAAAGATATGATGAAATAAATGAAGTTTTTCTTTCTAGGTGTTCTCCCTTGATCTTGTTTCTTTTACGTTGTTTGTCGTTCTTCAGAACGATACTATAACATGGTATCAGTCGCCAAATCCTGGAGTCTTTCTTCATTGTTCGCTGCTTACTGTGTTTCGCTCTCTTCACGATGCTTGGAGTCAGTTCCTTCGCCGTGACATTAGGTGCTGAAGGTGGTTGTGCATCTTGAAGGTCAGGTACAAAGATCATTCTTGTTTCTTGATTGGTATGTTTGCTTAACCGTTTCCATGGCGTCCTCTCCGGTTAGTTTGAGTGTTCAACATATCCTAAGCATGACATTGTTAAATTGTCTGAAAGCACTTACCTCTTGTGGAAGCATCAAGTGATGTTGATCATTGATGGATACGATCTGTTGAGATATATGTCTACTGACATTTCTGCTCCTAGTGAGTTTGTCACGAATGATTCAGGGCAAGAAGAAGAGAACCCAACCTTGTGGTATATAGGTAGCAAGACAAACTCTTGACATCTTGGCTCCTAACCACTGTGAGTACAGAAGTTCTTCCTCATCTCACTGGTCTCACGACAACTCTTGCTATTTGGAGTGCTATCTCACGTCTCTTTGGTGCAAGGTCTAGTGCAAAGATATCAGCCCTCAGACATAGCCTTCACTCGCAAAGGAAGGTTGGCTTAACAGTAAGTGAATATCTGGCAAAAGTTAAGTCTATTTGTGACATGTTAAATGCAGCAGGAAGCTTAGTAACTGAACAAGAACATGTCAGTGTTCTTTTGGCTGGTTTGTCCATGGAATTTGAGTCTGTAATCACTATAGCCTCTCGTGATTTTTTGTCATTGGATGTCCTAACTGAGATGCTTCTTGACTGTGAAGCTCGACAGAAGCTTTCGACAGAAGCTTTTCTTGTATGAAAGTGCTTCAGTTAATATGGCAGTTAGTTCTAGTGATAAAGACGAGTTAAAGTCAACTAGTAGTTCTGAACCTCAGTCACAGCCGAATTCGAAAAGATTACAACAAAGTGACAATTTCCGAGGAAGAGGTCGTGGTCGTTTCAATGGTTCTAATCGACCTCAATGTCAAATGTGTGGAAAGTTTGGCCACCCAGTACAGAAGTGTTTTCATAGGTTTGATCGAGACTATTCTGGAATGCATGATTCTACTGCATCGACCACTGAAGGATGGAGACAGTCGCGTGTTTTCTCGGGTGATAAACAATAATCTGTTGTTAGCATGCAAGCTTATAATCACTTGGTGAATCCCGGTTTTACCTAGACTCCTATTTTCCTCTGTCATCCAGGTGTTAACTCAGTCTTTCCTGGCGTGCAATCGTTTGGTTCAGTGTCATACTACCAAAATGGTTACTTATTCACTCCTCAGGTTGCATGTCCAGTGTCAGTGCCCCATATGAATGTAGCCTTGAGTGATTCGTTGTTTGGCTCTACTGCTGGAAAGAACCCCGTTGGTTCCTCGGTGTCATCTTCACCAGCTGCCTTTGTTTCCACATTACCTTCAGTTAGTGCCTCGACCAAACCAACTGATGATGTCTGGTACCTAGATACATGAGCTACACAACACGTTACCAATGATTTGTCTTGTCTTCAACTCTGGTACGATTTACACAGGTAATAATACTCTACTCATGGGTAATGGTGAAGGTGTTAAGATCGCACATGTAGGACATTCTTGTCTGTCGAGTAACTCGAAGCCTTTGTTGCTACAAAATATGCTTCATGTGCCAAACATAGAGAAGAATCTTATATCTGTGTCTTAATTCACTCGTGACAATAAGGTTTTTATCGAGTTTCATCCTTTTGATTGCTTTGTGAAGGACATACAGACTCAGGAGATCCTGTTGAAAGGGAGGCTCACGCATGATGGGTTGTATCAGTTGCTGCCATGCACTGTGAAGGACTCGAGCTGGCAGTTGAACAATGTGTCTAAAGCATCGAGTTCAATAGACTTGTGGCACAAACGCCTCGGCCACTTCTCGATGGCTTATGTTCGAGCAGTAATGAAGACTTGTAATATCAGCTTTAGTGAAAATAAGTTGTCTCATGTATGTACAGCATGTTTACAAAGCAAGGCTCATAAATTGCCGTTTTGTAATTCCATTACTGAATACAAGGAACCTTTTCAATTAATTGTTTTAGATGTTTGGGGTCCAGCACCTATTGTTTCTACTGATGGTTATTCGTATTATGGCCTCCTCCAGCTCGTATTCCAAGCAGGACCATATCATCAACCAACTATATAGCAGAGTAACAAAAAAATCATGATAATTGCAAAACATACAACAGTAAAAGAGTGTCATGAAAAAAATACTGATTCACAGTTATCAGCATATCATCATAATAGATTTGCTTGTCTTTTAGTTCTTTATTTTTAGTTTCAAGATCATGCAATTCATGTCTCTGAATATCTAACTGTTGGACAAGTTTTTGATTCTGGTACTGGAGAACTGCTGCATCAACCTGGATAAAAAAAAATCCTTCTATTTTAAAGTCGAATGTGTAACAGAATTGTTGACGAAAACGGGTAAAGAAAACAAAAGAACACGAGAATTTTACGAGGTTCGGCAATGTGCTTACGTCCTCGGTGCCTAGGCGGCGCTAGAAGTTTTTATTCAATGATATTTTAGGTCTAGGTTACATCTCTATTTATTCAATGATATTTTACGTCCTCAGTAGGCAACGCTGTTGGTCCTTGCAGTGCTTCCACAATTCCCTGTTGTACTAGAAGGGCTCTCATCTTCTCTCTCCATAGGCCAAAGTCATTCTTTCCGATAAATTTCTTGATATCAAACTTGGCAGATCCCATCATCATTGATTTGTTCCCACAGACGGTGCCACTTGTTGTGCAATCTACCAATAACTAATCGAAGAACGAACGCATAACAAGAATCCAGAAAATCAAGACACCAAAATATTTACGTGGTTCGGTCAGTGTGACCTACATCCACAGGAAGGAATCAATTTAACTAAAGCAAACGAAACAAGATTACAAGATTTAGAACCAGAAGTAAGAACTCTCTCTAATTCTCTCAATACAATCTGATCTCTCCTTGAACCCTCTCAACTCACTTACATCTTTATTTATAACTAAAGATCCTCTCCAAGTTGATCGGTTCAGCAACCAACTGTCAAAGTCAATGACAGTTATAACTGAGATAGTTTTGGCTTCCAACTGTAGCAACCATCTTCTGATTTATACCATTGCCTTAGTCCAGTAAATTGTGAGTCATTTCAACAGAACAAAAAATCAAGTCAAGCGCTGACAACTAGTCAGGTTGCCAGCATAAAGTAATTCTGTTGGTACCAAATCTACTGTTGAGTATTCCATTTATATATGTTAGGTAGTTATTGCAGGCATCTATATCTAATTAACAAAGCATAAAATAAAATATCTTCTAAAAGTTGAACTAGGAAAGACCTTGAAGACGTTTAATTTCAGATTGGTCAGTTGAATGGTTGCTTATATATTTGAATCTCATCCGCATATTCTTTATGCTTCAAATGTAGAACACTGATCATCTCATGCAAGTTTTAGCCTCTTCTTTCATCATATCATCAATCTTAGAAAGCTGCATCATAGTATCTGAGAGAAATATGTAATAATCAATATAAACTGTGGATAGAAGTACTAAATAATGAAAATAACTGAAAAATAACGAAAAACATGTGGAATGAAAAATTAAAAAGCAACTGAAATATCTAACCTTCAACAGATAATTTTCCATGCGAAGAAAAAGTCATTCTCTCAGTTTTCATCCTCTCGGCGGAGATGGTATCCTGCAGAGATTTTATCAAGTCCCTAGTGGAGGAATGGCGTGCCGATAAAACTAGTTCAACATAATTAGCAATCCCATCATCGTCACTACTGTCAATAAAATCTGTTTCTAGAAGCCTACAAAGAAACATCTCCTCCACAGGGCATGTTGGTATAGAACCTAGAGAGAACTCAAGTTAATTTATTATTGAGAGAACTTACACTTGACATGTTTTTATTATTAAAAGACATGAATACCTCTCCTAACTCCCAAAAAGAAAAAAAAAACAAAGAACATGTTTAACCAACAATTTAAGTTATCCTAACCTCGAGACTTGTCAGCATGGTCCAAGGTTTGTAAAACATTATGGCCTCCTCCAGCTCGTATTCCAAGCAGGACCATATCATCAACCAACTATATAGCAGAGTAACAAAAAAATCATGATAATTGCAAAACATACAGCAGTAAAAGAGTGTCATGAAAAAAATACTGATTCACAGTTATCAGCATATCATCATAATAGATTTGCTTGTCTTTTAGTTCTTTATTTTTAGTTTCAAGATCATGCAATTCATGTCTCTGAATATCTAACTGCTGGACAAGTTTTTGATTCTGGTACTGGAGAACTGCTGCATCAACCTGGATAAAAAAAAATCCTTCTATTTTAAAGTCGAATGTGTAACAGAATTGTTGACGAAAACGGGTAAAGAAAACAAAAGAACACGAGAATTTTACGAGGTTCGGCAATGTGCTTACGTCCTCGGTGCCTAGGCGGCGCTAGAATTTATTCAATGATATTTAGGTCTAGGTTACATCTCTATTTATAATAGAAAACCCTGGTACATAATTACAAAATTAACCCTGTACCGTACCGCGGGGGCTACGCCCCCGCACCCCCAACCCACATAATTCGTAACCCCACAACGAGACTTTCTTTATAAGGACAGTTGATGTTCGCTCACTCCGCTCCGTCTCCTGTCCTCTTTACTGGTATATTTATGAGCCATACCTAACAAATCTCCACCTTGGCGAATATCCTGCCCCTTGGAAACTTCAATGTGGGTTGGGTTACCTTGCTTCTTTAACAACTCGAAACATTCAACAAGTCCAAGCAATGCTTGAACTTGTCTGTCGTAACTGGCTTGGTGAACATATCAGCGCCATTCTCATCAGTATGTACCTTCTGAAACAAAACCTCTCCAGATGCAACCAACTCTCTGATCTTGAACCTTACATCAATATGTTTAGTTCTAGCACGATACACCTGATTCTTAGCCAAGTGAATAGCACTTTGATTATCACAAAGCAACTGAACTCCACCTTGTTGAACACCCAACCCTTCACTAAACCAGTAAGCCATAAAGCTTCTTTTGCAGCTTCAGCCGCTGCCATGTATTCAGCTTCAGTTGTAGATAGTGCCACGACAGATTGAACAGTAGACTTCCAGCAAATAGGCCCTCCACCAAGAGTAAACACATACCCTGTCGTAGATCTTCTATTATCCAAGTCACCTGCATAATCTGAATCCACATATCCTACAACCAAATTATATCCCGCTGACTCCCAAAAACAATTCCATGTCCCACAGTACCCTTTAAGTACCGAAAGATCCACTGACTGCATCCCAATGTTGCTTACCAGTTTAGACATGTACTTACAAACTTGACTAACAGCATGAGCTAAATCAGACGAGTACATACCATCGCATACATCAAGCAACCAACAGCATTAGAATACGGAACCTTTGCCATATTTTCAGCTTCCTTATCTGTCTTAGGGCACTGTTCTGATGAGAGCTTAAAGTGATTCGCCAATGGAGTGCTAACTGGTTTCGCGCTGCTCATCGCAAACCTTTCTAGCATTTTCTAACATAACCCCGTTGAGATAGCCGTAGTTTCCTTGAGTCTCTGTCCCTGCAAATTTCCATTCCAAGAATTTTCTTTGCAGCACCTAAATCTTCATATCAAATTCCTGACTCAAAAGTTTTCAAACCGATAACATCATCCATGTTCTTCACAGCAATCAACATATCATCAACATACACTAATAGAAAAATAAAAATCATCAAGGCTCTTAACATAGACACAACAATCATACTCACATCGGTTGTAGCCAATCTTGATCATATAGGAGTCAAACCGTTTATACCACTGTCTCAGAGACTGTTTTAACCCGTACAAAGATTTCTTCAATCTGCAAACTAAATGCTCGTTTCCAGGTTGAGTGAAACCTTCAGGTTGCCGCATGTAGATCTGCTCCTCTAAATCACCATGCAAAAAAGCAGTTTTAACATCCATCTGCTCTAAATGCAAATCCCAACTAGCCACCAATGCAAGTACTGCTCGGATTGAAGTGTGCCTGACCACAGGAGAAAGATTTCATCATAATCAACTCCTTTCTGCTGTGAAAAACCCTTCGCTACCAAACGAGCCTAAACTTCTCCCCCTCTTTTTCTGTTACTGCTGGTTTTCTTCTTATACACCCATTTGCAACAATCGGCTTCTTACCCTCAGGAAGGGGAACTAACTCCCATGTGCGATTGTGATTCAAAGACTCCATCTCCTCAACCATGGCTGCCATCCTTGTCGTTTTCCTGCTAACGGCATCATGAAAAGTAATGGATCATCACTGTAACAGTAAGTGCAAAGATACCAAGTCTTCAAAACCCAATCTGTTCGGAGGCTTTATATTCGTCCGTCTCGCCCTGTCTCTGGCGAGACTATAATCCTGCAAATCATCCGTAGTGGAACCACCAGAATCGGTTGAGAAGTTCTGGTTTCTCAACTGGAAACTGCTCGAAATCTACCACTGTCGTGTCTTGCTTCTGTTGCAACATAGACTGTTCACAAAAACGACATCTCTACTAATCACAACTTTCTCCGCAACTGGATCCCAGAACTTGAATCCTTGACACCTTTCTGTAACCAGAAAAATGCACTCCTTCGATTTTGCATCAAGTTTGGATCTCTCATCAGCAGGTACATGCACATAAGAGGACAACCAAAATCCGTAAGTTATCAAAACTAACATCATGACCAGTCCATACCTCTTCTGCAACTTTCCCAGCCAGCGATGCCCTTGGCGATCTGTTGATAAGGTAACACGCCATGTTAACAGCCTCAGCCCAAATGTTTGGGAAGCCCGCATTCAACCGCAAATATCTGGCTCTTTCATTCAAACGACCTGTTCATTCGTTCCGCAACACCATTCTGTTGTGGTGTCTTGCGCACTGTAAAATGCCTCTGAATCCCATGCTCCTTACAGAATTGTAGGAACTGTGAATCTGTGTACTCCGTACCATTGTCAGACCGCAAACACTTGATTTTTCATCCTGTTTGGTTTTCTACCTCAGCTTCCACAGCTTGAACTTCTCAAAAACTTCAGATTTCTGTTTCAAAAAATACACCCAAACTTTCCGTGAAAAAAAACATCAATAAAAGTAACATAGTACCTAGATCCACCCAAAGACGATGTCGTGGAGGCCCCCATACATCAGAATGCACATATCAACAATCCCTTGAGTTGTGTGCTTCGCAGTCTTGAAACGACTTTAGTCTGTTTACCAAGAACACAATACTTGCAAAAGTCGAGCTTACAGCTTTTGACACCATGCAACAAGTTCTCTTGTGTAATTCTGCCATACCACGTCACTAAGATGAGCAAGGCGCATATGCCACAATTTGTCGTATCATCACAGGACTCAACAGAGTGAACTCCACCTGCAACGGTACTCCCTAACAATCTGTAGATATTCCCTGCAGTCATCTTGCCTTTCATCACAGTCAATGCTCCTTTAACAATCCGAATGGTTTCCCTATCCTCGTCAGCCTTAGGGATAAAACCATTCTTGTGCAAAGTGCCCAAGGAAATCAAATTCTTCTTCAAGTCTGGGATATGTCGAACACCACTCAACGTCCGAACGGAGCCATCGTGCATCTTAATTCGACATCACCAATACCAACAATATTGCAACATCGATCATCACCCAAATAAACCGAACCAGAATTAACCGGCCTGTATGTCGAAAACCATTCCCTATTTGGCGTGATGTGATAAGAACATCCAGAATCAAGAATCCAAGCAATCCGTCAATTGTGTCGTTGAAATAGAAAGCATATCACCCTCACTGCAATCAGAAGTATCATCCTCGACCACGTTCACAGACTTGGATGAGCCATCACGCTTCTCATCAGTCTGCTTTTCAACTTCGGACAGTCTCGCTTCATGTCCCGCCTCCTTGCACTGTAACAGTGAATCGTCTCTTATCCTGGATTTGGATCTGGAATTTCGCTTCCCGGACCCTGCCTTCTCTGGCTTCCGTCCACGATCTCGATACCCTTGACATATAAGCTATCGGCTTGAGAGCTTTCCCTGCATTCTGCTTCCGCTAGTTGTGAGCCAACAAGGCTGCAGTAATCTCCTCACGTTGATAGTCTCTTTCCCATATGTAAGAGTCACCATGTGTTCGTAAGAGGAAGGCAACGAACACAACAAATCATCGCTCTATCTTCATCTCAATTTTCACATCAAGCCGAGCCAGATCAGAAACGATTTGATTGAAGACATTCACGTGTTGCGCCAAATCGTGATCGTCCTGCATCTTCAGCCCATACAGCCTGCTTCAGATACAGTTTTGTCGTTAAGGATTTGGACATAAACGACTTTCCAACTTCCTCCAAATTTCGTCTGGAGACGATAGATGCATGACGTGATACATGACCTCGTCCGCCAAGCATAATCGTAGGTTCCTGCCGCTCGCTGCTGCAATTCTTCCCAATCTTCCATCCATCGACGTCGGCTTTGTAGGTCGCAAAGCCTTCAAGATCCCTTGCGGTTCGGCAATGTGCTTACGTCCTCGGTGCCTAGGCGGCGCTAGAATTTTATTCAATGATCTTTTAGGTCTAGGTTACATCTCTATTTATAATAGAAAACCCTGGTACATAATTACAAAATCAACCCTGTACCGCGGCGGCTACGCCCCCACCCCCAACCCACATAATTTGTAACCCCACAACGAGACTTTCTTTGTAAGGACAGTTGATCTTCGCTCACTCCGCTCCATCTCCTGTCCTCTTTACTGTATATTTATGAGCCATACCTAACAGTATCGTTCATAGACGTGCACAGTAGGCACACTTGGGTCTATCTACTAAAAAGGAAATCTGAAGTTATGCAATGCTTCTTAAATTTCTACAAGATGGTAGAGGTTCAGTTTGGTTTCAAAATCAAAGCTGTTCAGACTGATGTAGGAGGAGAGTATCAAGCTCTCAAAGGTTGGTTCCTTACTAATGGTGTACAACACGGATTTCTGCCCAAGTACGTCTGAACAAACGGGAAAGTCGAAAGAAAACAGACATAGTTGAAATGGGATTAGCACTGCTAGTGAGGCTGAACTTCCCTTAAATTTCTGGAGTCTGTTATTTAATAAATCGCTTAGGTGGCAAGTCTTCTTTTGAGATTCTCTATAAACAGACTCCTGATTATTCCATGCTCAGGATTTTTGGGTGTGCGTGATTTCCCCTTCTAAGGTCGTTCAACCAACATAAGTTGGACTTCAGGTCCAAGCGGTGCACGTTTCTTGGTTATAGTCCTCTATATAAAGGATACAAATGTTTAGATGATAATGGGAGAGTCTTCATTTCTAGACATGTTGTGTTTGATGAAGGAGTCTTTCCTTATGCTGATAAGAAATGAGGAGGTCGGTCAGATTCTGGCACTGTTACCTCGACTGTTATCTCGACTAATTTTCTGCCTGTAGTTCAGTCTTCTGAAGAGTTACACAGTGTTCAATCTAGAAGGTGTGTGGCGGTTGTGACTAATCCAGTGAATAGCCATAATCGTGACTCTGACTTGGCCTGCCTGGCACGTCGCATACAACCGACACTGAGGAGTATGTGTGTGCAGGTAATGATTCAGTAGTGCCTGCTATGGCTTGTGCTGAAGAGACGACTAATGTTGTACATGAGTTATGTGTTCCAACCGCTTTGAATGCTGATAATGATGCAGTTATAAATGAGTCAATTCCTAGTGCTGTCACATGTGCAGAATCTCAGGCTGAGGTTGAACAGTCCAATGCTCATCCCATGGTGACTCGAAGCAAAAGTGGATTAGAAAGCCCAAAGTATTTCAGGTGGCTTGCTTAGATAGAGAACCGAGGACTATTCGAGAAGCCATGAGGAGTCCTGAGTGAAGAGCTGCTGCTCAAACGGAATTTGATGCGCTGGTGAAGAACAACACCTGGACACTTGTTCCTCTCCCGAGTGGAAGGAAAGCAGTGAACTGTAAGTGGATTTTTAAAGTCAAACGAAATGCTGATGGATCCATAGCGAGGTACAAGGCTCAACTTGTAGCTAAGGGTTTTTTGCAACAGCCATGCATCGATTATCATGAAGTCTTCAGTCCTGTGGTCAAGCCAGTAACAGTTCGGGTTGTGATTTCACTTGCACTGGCTAAGGGGTAGCAGTTAAGGCAAGTCGATGCAAACAACGCCTTCTTCAATGGAGTTCTAACTGAGGAGGTATATATGGCACAACCACCTGGCTATGAAGAAGGTGATGGAAGCTTGGTTTGCAAGCTTAACAAAGCCATTTATGGGCTAAAGCAGGTGCCTCGAGCGTGGTTTGAGAGGTTAAAGCAATTTTTAGTGACTCAGAATTTTGTGTTAGCAAAATCTGATGCTTCACTGTTTGTTAGGGAAACTACTAACTACATCATGTATCTACTAGTGTATGTAGATGATATCATCTTCACGGGTAGCTGTGAGGAAGAAGTGCAAGGTATGATTTGACGACCTTAACAAGCAGTTTGAGCTAAAGGATCTTGGGGTCTTGAGTTTTTTTTCTGGGAATTGAAGTGTGTGTTGAAAAGCTGATGAGATTATCTTGAGTCAGCAGAAGTATATACGTGAATTTTTGTTTAAAAGTGGACTGGAAGATGCTAAGGGTCTTCCTACTTCAATGGTCACTAATTGCAAGCTGGCGGTTGACACTGGAATATCAATTGAAGATGCAACTCATTATAGGAGTATTGTTGGTGCTTTGCAGTACATCGTTGTCACGCGACCAAGCATTGCCTTTGCTGTGAATAAGGTCTGTCAGTTCATGCAAGCACCATGTGATGATCATCTTCAGGCAGTGAAACATATACTGAGGTATCTGCAAGCTACTGCTGATTTTGGTCTTCGTTTTTCAGCTCCATCACGGTTGTCTTTAACAGGCTTTGCTGATGCGAACTGGGGGTCAGATGTAGATAGACGATCGACCTCGGGTTATTGTATCTATTTTGGTGACAATTTGGTTTCCTGGAGCTCTCGTAAACATCAGGTAGTCGCTCGGTCTACGGCAGAGGCTGAGTATCGCAGTGTTGCCTGTGCTGCTGCGGAGATGGTGTGGCTTGAATCGTTGCTGGGTGAGCTGCGGGTGTCGATTCATGGGAAACCTGTCTTGTGGTGCGATAATTCCAGTGCTGTAGCTGTCTATGCAAATCCAATCTTGCATTCCAAGTTCAAACATGTTGAACTTGACCTGTTTTTTGTTAGGGAAATGGTAGCTGCTGGCAAGCTATCGGTTCAGGAGGTACCTGCTTTTGAATAGGTTGCTGATGTTCTAACCAAGCCGTTGTCTGCTCCAGCGTTCCTTAAACATAGGCAACTATTGCTTATCTCACAAATTCAAGGCAAATTTGTGGCCTCAACGGTTGAGGATTGTAAGGAGTGAGTTTTTGGTGTTCTTAGTGATGTGAGAGTTTGCTGCAGGGGGAATGTTGGTGCATGCTCTTGCGCGTATTGTTTGTGTTTAAGGGCCTGAGGAAAGCCAGTTGTAAAGTAGGGGGAATGTTGGTGTATGAACTGGAGCTGAGTTTGTTTTAACCAATCTGTCATGTGTTAGTTAGGCTGTTGAGTGTTAGTTAAAGATGGTTATGAGCAGTTAAGCTTCTTGGGTTCTTCTAGTCTATTTTATAAATACATCTCTTCATGATTGAGAGAAAGATATGATGAAATAAATGAAGTTTTCTTTTCTAGGTGTTCTCCCTTGATCTTGTTTCTTTTACGTTGTTTGTCGTTCTTCAGAACGATACTATAACAGTAATCTCGTACAATACTATTATAGGTGCATATGGTCAAAACAAGGACTTGAAGAATATGTCATCAACAGTTCGTGAAATGCAATTCAATGGTTTTTCGGTTTCACTCGAAGCGTATAATTGCATGTTGGATGCATATGGGAAAGAAGGCGAAATGGAGAAATTCCAAAACGTCTTGCAGAGGATGGAGGAACCGAATTGTGCTTCAGACCACTATACATACAACATTATGATCAATATATGGAGAAAGGAGATGGATCGATGAAGTTGTTGCTGTGCTGACTGAACTGAAAGAATGCGGATTAGGACCCGATTTGTGCAGTTACAACACATTGATTAAGGCATATGGGATTGCCGGAATGGTCGAAGATGCTGTAGGTTTGGTGAAGGAAATGCGAGGGAATGGATAGAGCCTGATAGGATAACATACAACAATTTGATAACTGCACTAAAAAAGAATGATAAGTTCTTAGAGGCTGTTAAGTGGTCATTGTAGATGAAGCAGATGGAAATGGAGAATGCAGATGGGCTCACGCGATCGTTTTTGCTCCCCCAACACCTCGTCCTGTATAATGTCAACCAGAGTTGAATCTACCTCCACTATTTTAAATGTTCTTTTCTCCATTTTAATAGCATGATTAGCTTTTAGTTTCATCTTTGCCATTAATCTAACTAGCTCTTGCAAGATACCCCAAGAAATGACCCCCCATTACCACCTCTAATTACAAGATATACTGGTCGACGCATATTAGAAAATTTCCCTCATTTTATTTATCAAACATGTTTTTCTTCTCAATTTAAGGCCAATTTTACACCTTCGACTGATGCAGAAAATCCATATACAATAAGGAAATTAAGCCCAAAAAATACAAGAAATCATTCAGCAATCAGAAGGTGGGTCACTGTTATAATATGGCCCAGCTAGCTACGCTGCCGATTCTCGACTGAACATCGGCCTTGAAATCCTCACCACACATCACCTCTTCGCTGTCGATTCTGGGACTTACCTTCATGTTGCTCCTTGGATGCTCACTGTGGAACATACACCCTGTATTCACCTAATACAGTTGATTTTTAGTACGATGAAACAAAAGTACTCCTGATCTCTAACTGAATAATCATTTTAATCTATATTTCTTCTTAGAATATTTTAACCTTTAATATTTTGTTTTGAAGTAAAAATAACCTATTATTAGATGAAAATTGTTGACTAATTAATTGTCAACATTTTTTTTTGATGTGCCAATCTTATATGTCTAAAATATTGATGTTCAGCATACCACATATACAAAAATAATGGCATAATACATATTATATGTACATAAGTAATGATATAATATATATCATATGTACATAAATGATGACATAATACATGTCACATACACATAAATGATGACATGATGAGCATATACGCCTTGCCATATTCAAACAGTAATCCGAGAGTCTGAAGTAGGGAAGATCATCGTGATAACAAATAAGCGCATCTTGATCAATCGTTACAATTTAAATCAACATTAAAATTAGTACCGTCACGAAACATAAATATAAAGAAAATAGAATAACAACACCATGAGAAAAGGAAAAAATATAAAACTGAAAAATTAATCAACTTTTTTTTAAAAAAATAAATAGGCTTCACGCACCCTTTAATCTTATTTATTTCATTGAATAAAAACAAAAACAAGCACACGACTTTAATTTATAACAACCCATAAACATAACAAAGTGAAAAACCATAAAGATATGATAATTTCAGTTGCAAGCTTTGAAACTAGTAATATGGTGATGGTGCTGCTGCAACTTTCTCAGCGTCTCCAAAAAGATTGCAAACACCGTTAATCAAGAGAGAAACCATTGGTATATCGGGAAAAAGAACTGGCAAACAGTGATCTCCCACAAGATTTATGGCTTTGCAGCATTCATGTTTTAGTCCATCGAACTTCAAATGCCAAACTACCTCGTGGATTGCCTCAACGCAGCCATGTACACTCGACACCGACGACATGCATCCCCCGAGATTTTCGGTTTCCTCCATTGATCCCGATGGAACCACCATCGCCGCCGATGCAGCCATGCAGGTGAGGGCGGCTAACCAAAACATTAGGGTTTTTGACGTTGTTGCTTCCATGGAGTTTGGTCAAATGAGAATGATTATAGGTTTTTTGAAAGGGATTGTTGGTGATTTAGCATTGTCTAACTAGGTATTTATAGTAGAAATTTTGCAACCAGTGTTTGTTCTAATGGAAATTTTGGATCAGATGTCCAAGTGTATGTAAAAAGAAAATTATATTACGTGAAACGAAAATATAAGTATATTGGTATCTGATTTTTGTTTTGTTTTATTAAAAGTGTCCTCACACGAACTAATGAGATTTATTTAAATGGTAAACAACTTAATATCGTTTAAAGAAATATTAGGTTTGAGTTCTTGTGTATATAAATAATTCTCACTTTAAGATTTACCTAAATTAAATGTGCGACGCGAATTAGTTCAAATTAATCCAGACTAAACCCTAAAAACCAATGGGAAAAATGTATGTGAGGGAGGCAGCTACAGCTGTCTTATAAACCAATGGGAAAATGTCATGTGAGGTAGGCAGCTACAGCTGTCTTATTATTATTATTTATAAGGAATATTTTATAAGTTGAAGCAATCAAAATTTAAAGCTATTAAATTTAAAGCTATTAAAACGTATATGAGATTAATGCAGGAATACATTTTTACATGTGTTGTTAATGTTAAAATTGTAACTCATTTCTAATTTTATAGTAAGTAGTTTTAAATTGTGTTTTAAAAATGATATCTTTGTCCCTCCTATTTAATAGCTTTTTTTATTAAGTTCGAGGACCCAATTGATTTTTTAGAAAGTTTAAGAATTTTTTTTAAAATAAGGTATTATTAAAATTTAAAATATAAATAATTATTAAGATATTCAATACATTAAATATAAAAATATTATGCAGTTAAATTATTAAAAAGTTCAGTTTAAGGACCACATTGAGTGTAAATTTTTTTGCAAAAAATTTGAGGGTTTTATATACCATTATATAAAAATATTGTTAGAATGATTTGAATTTGTGCAAGTTAAGTTAAAATCTAGATCTCATTTTTTCTTTTTCTTTTTTTCAAATTTCAAAAACAAATTTAATGAAAATACTTAAAACATCTTTTTTTATATTTCATATTTCCATTTATTTTGTTTTCATTTTCAGAAATCACTTTCTAATTTTACAGCAAAACACGATTTATTTAATTTTTTCTATTTACTAAGGAAATGAAAATAACCTATATATTTTTTTAAAACCAAATAGACTATGATGGGAGGTGTTGACAATCTCAGATGATAATGCTCCTCGAACAAGAATATAAGATATACTAACATGTACACGAAAATACTATAAATGTTCAATAGTATTCATAAAACATAGGGTAAACTACATAAATGACCACCCAACTATGAGCTTGGTCACGAAATGACCACCATTTTCAGATTTACGTCAATATGACCACTGAACTATTTAAATAGTTTTAATATAGCCACCCGACGTTAACGTTTAACAAAATTAGGGCGGGAGTCCTTGTAAAGTTACATTTGCGGCGATTATACCCTCCTTTGTTTCTTCCATTTTGGTCACTACTTGTATATGATTTGTTCCCTTGGATTTTCATTTAATGCAATTTGATCTTGATTCAGTTTTTAATTTGTCTAATGCCTTAATTTGAGTATTAACTTTTTAAATATTTTGTTCTAGTAATGTATTAAATTTATAGATTAAATCTCCTAGATTTTAGAATTAATCGATGAGCCAATTCTCACCCTTGTTATCAAGGTAATACATATGTTATATAACTTGTTCATGTTTAGGCAGAAAAATAAAACTAAAACAACTTAATTACATTTGAACCCAAGATCAATTAATAACCAAGCAAAGCTTTAACCAATAGGCTAAATCTAATATTTAGGAACCAATAAAATATTTTGTGTATATTATATATTATAGTTAAAGATAGAAATAAAAAATAGACAAATAAAGACTTAAATATAGTCAAATTGAGAATATGATAACACTTAAAATGCTAAAAAATCTAATATATTATTTATAATTAATATTTAAAATTAAATTAAAATTTTATTTAACATGCCCAAACTCAAATATTTTTTCTTATGATTTTAATTTGAACATCAAATTATTTGCTAATGATTTCATATATATAATCATTAAAAAATAAATATGAAAACAATATATTTAGTTTAAAAATATCAAAATCTTAAATCAATTAAAATGATTTTCATTTCGAGACCAAACCCATAGTTAGATAGTCATTTATGTAATTTACCCGAAAGCATAAGCATACTACTCAAATAGAGGCATAGCTTTACTCATCTTAACATGCATCTCAGTCAACAAGATTTATTCCATGGTTTGGAAGCATATAATAGTTTCATACTTAGCATAGAAAATTCATTAACAGATTTTTTCCTAACAGTGTTAATCCTAAAAATTGCATACTTTATGATATTCAATCTCAATCAGTCAATAAATAGATAAATATTAATGTTTAAATTTTAAAAAAATAGTGGTCAATGTTGATAAAAAGAAAAATATATTTTTTTATTTAAGACTTTAATTAAGTACAAAAAAAATTAGAGATTGAATTAATAACTTTAAAAAAATAAATTTGTTCATGTACCCCTTAAATCTTTTTTTATTGAATAAACAATTATATATATATATATATATATATATATAAAGTTTAGAAAGCTTTAATTTGTAAAAGTAACAAGCCACAAACATGGCATAGCAAAAGAAGATAAAAACCAAAAGATATGATAATTCCACTTGCAAATATTTAGTAGAAAGCTTCTTCAAACTAGTAATAAGGTGATGACGCTGCTGCAAATTTCTCAGCGTTCCCCAAGAGTTTGCAAACGGCCCTAAGCAAGAAAGGAACGATGGGTTGATCGAAAAAAAGAATTGACCAACACTTATCTCCCACCACAATGATGGCTTTGCAGCATTCCTCTTTGAGTTCATCATACTTCCTGTGCGAAACAACCTCCTCGATTGCCTCAACGCAGCCTTCTACACTCGTGAGCGACAACATGCATCCCCCGAGATCTTCAATTTCCGTTATCGATCCCGATGGAACCACCTCCGCCGTCGCCGCAACTATGCTGGTGACGGTGGCTAACCAAAACATTAGGGGTTTTGATGCTGTTGCTGCCATGGAATTTGGTCATATGAGAATGATTATAGCTTTTGAAAAGGGATTGGTGGTGATTTACCATTGTCTGAGTAGGTATTTATAGCAGCAGTTTAGCGATGAGTGTTTGTTTTAATGGAAAAATTGGATGTATAGTTGGTAAAAATATGATGTCCAAGTGTACGTAAAAGAAAATTATATCACGTGAAAGGAAAATTGGTATATGATTTTTGTTTTGTTTTATTAAAAGTGTTCTATGCGGGAGGGAGCTACAACTGTCTTTTTTACATTATTATTTATAAGGAAATAAAGGATCTTATCTTTATTAGTTGTTTTTTTATACTTTTGTTGCTGGTAGCATTTTGTTGTTTTCTTTCGATATATAAAAAACTTCGATTTTGTTAAGGAACAAAAATGTATGACATATTGAATCCATTAAGTGATCTTAATAGGTAAGGGAGTGTTAATCTCCTTTAAGGTTATGGATTCAATCACTTGCATTTGTACAATATGTACGTGTTGGCAATGACTAAATAAAATTATTAACATATATATCTTATAACCACCGAGACTATTCAAAAGGAAAATATATGGCACATTCTTTTCAATAAATTCTTCTATATCTTACTTCATTTCAAACCAGCAATCCAAAGATCTCCATACACGTTTACTAAACTTCAATGCATAAAGAACGAACTAGAATAAGCTTCATGAAGTATATCAAGCTTTAGATCGAGACTATCTAGAACAAAGAATCAATTGTGTAATTAAAGGCAATTATCAAAGTTAAATGAGAATTCAAATTCAGATCCATTTTCTTAAGAGTATATGGAGATCCCGCCTTAGTAATCTATCAGTTCCGAGGAGAGTGGGAGACTAAAGATGTAAAACTGGTGGAATACAAAAAGCTCATATTGGATCTACTTGAATAGTTTGACAAAGTCACTTTCCACTATGTGCCTAGAGAAGAAAACCAAATAACTGATGTCTTAGCTACCTTGGCAGCAACATTCAAGGTTGGCAGGGAGTCTAACATGATGCCAATTGACATGCAGTCGTTGAGTACCCGACTCATTGTTACCAAATCGAAGAGATAAAAGACACCAAGCCTTGATACCACGATATTCTGCAATACATTAAAAACCAAAGCTATCCAAAAGAAGCAACCAAAACTGATAAAAGAACAATCAGAAGGATGGCGACCAGATATGTTCTTGATGGAGAAATCTTAAACAGGAAAAGTCATGATCAAGTCTTGTTAAGATGTGTAGATGTAGAAGAGGTAAAGATGATCTTGGAAGAGGTATATGATGGAGTTTGTGGAACTCATACTGTTGAACCATATTTTGATATAACAATTAAGGCAAAATGTTTTTGGACTTGAATTTAATTTATTCAAAAGTTTTCAAAAATAATTCAAAGTCCTTAAAAGTGGAATTGAGCACAAAATATGTTTTTGTACAAGTAGTACCGATACTATCCTTACAATATCTATACCTTATGAACAGTATCGATACTGTTCATATGGTATCGATACCAAAGGTAAGGGAAGTATTGATAATCACTAGGTAATATCGATACTACCAACTTTGCTTAAATTCCATAATCCAAAAATGGTACCGATACCCAAAGTGGTACCAATACTACTCTATATAGTAGTACCGGTACCATAGGCATAGTATCAATACCATAAGGCCCCAACGGTTAGTAACGGCTAGTTGATTTAAATATAACAAAGGTAATACCGATACCCTATATTCTGGGCAACTTTATTTTACATAAAAATTGATCCCCAACAGCTCCAAACCACCTCTAACGGCTAGAAACGTCCACAACAACATTCCAACACATAAATACAAGTTGAGGACACTTGAAGAAGGGTTAGAACAACTATCCAAACAATCAAACACAAGATAAGAGCTTTTCACTCTTTATTCCAATTCTCTTGTAAATATTTTGT